TTCTCCAGGCTGGTGCGATGGGCAGCCACAGCTGACAGCTACTATGACAGACACTTTCCAGGAAAGACCAAATCCCTAACACATCCAGCTGGTCCTTACACTAAAATGGGGTGCTCGTGCCCCCTGCCCCCATAAAACAAGACCCAAGTTCCAAGAGCAGAAAATGGTGTTCAGAGTAAAAGGCAAAGTCAGAAACCCATTATAGACATTTATTTTAGAAGTGGCATTTTTGTAGTTTCAGGGGCTCATCTCAATAAAGAACTAGGAAGTAAAAGCAAATGCAATTATACTTTGCCTCGGGAAAGAGCTCTGAATACTTTTTTATTATATTGCCAAAGATTAGGTCTCGAATATAATTCTGAGAAAGTCATATCAGAGGCCTCTTTCATTAACAGAGATGGAAACAGGCATTTATATGCCACCAATGAATCAATTAAAGGAGGAAAGGAGTTTGAAACGGTCTTCATTGCATTATTAACTCCGGGGAGTGTGCGGCATTGGCGATTGCTGAACCCAGCACCTTCTTGTCACCCACCTGGAGCAAAACGGAGGAAAATAAAGCATGGGAACAGTCTCATCATACTAAACAAAATCTCATCATACTAAAGTCTGCAAGTCCTAAATTGTTTGCTAAAGTGCAGCAGAAGCAAAGCAGAGCCAGACATTTCTAAAAACACTGTTGGCTTTTGTGGATTGAAACTGAGAGTATGAATCAGTGTGTGAATTGGTGTGTTTATATGTGTCTGGGTTTACATAAGTCTGGGTGCTGGGAATTATTTTAATCACCATGATTATTTCTAGTATAACAATGTTTTAAAATAGGAGAATTCCACTAAGTAACACAGAAGAATTACTCAGTGAAATTTGAGAGAACTGTGGGCCCTTCCTCTCCATTCCCCATTTGGCCTGTTAGTCACCAACTTCTATCAACTTCTTTATAGTTTACCAGCTTCAGAAAATCTTAATTTGTATTGAGCAGTGGCGTCTGGAATAAAATGATTGGTGATTAGAATCCATACTGGCCTAAGGATGGATTCCATTTCCTGCCCTGCCAGAAAATACTGTATGTTTTGGGGCAGTCATTTTACCTGTCAGAGTCTCAAGTTCTTCAGCTATAACTTGGGGAAAATATCTTCCCTACCTCCTCACAAGGTTATAGGGAAAGCATTTTATAATCCTGGGAAACGTATCAAATATAAGACACCATTAGGTTAAGCTTCTACCTTTAAAATGCCTCCTGTGTCATGTGTGATAGAAATGTATATTGTGGATGATGGTGGATTAAAGATGTGAAGGAAGTAGCTTGAGGACGTGATATTTCAATGTGAATTTATTCTTACTGTTCCAAAATACAATTCACATTTATTCTAAAATCATGCCCTACATTTAGATTTACTCTTTATATCTTGCTGCTTCCCGCACTGTTCTCCTCTGTTATTTCATTCCTCCCCCACATGTAAGGGCAAAGAGTTGGAACTCCCCTGTCCAGTTTGCAGCCTGTTTAATGAGTTGGCTGGAACAAGGCAGCTTAGCGAACTCACCTCCTACTTACTCATTACTACCAAGAGGACCACAGATTGTCTCCTATTATGTGGGAAAGCAGCTCAGGTCCTCTCTGCTCTTCTCCATGTGACTTGTCCATCATCAGGTCCTATTGAATGTGTCCTAAATCTCTCTCAAATCAATCCTTCGGCATAAAACAGAGTATTGTCGCTCCTGAATCACAGAAGTATCCCTCTAACTGGACTGTTCCCCTTAATCCTGTGCTCGCACCCAGTCTCTCCTTCGCTCACCAAGCAGGAGTAATCTTGACAAAATCTAAATCTGTACACATCAATTCCCTGCTTAAACCTTGGATAGCACCGGTCCCCTAGAGGAAAGCCCTGTGCTCTCTAGATATGACAAGTGAGTTTCTCTGGACCTGATGCCTGCTCACCCCCCAGCATCTCCACACACACTTGTGCTCAGCAAGGCTGAATATCCCCAATCCCAGCTGCACCTTCTACGCTTTTTAAAGTTCCATGCCTTTTCATGATTCCTTCTAACTATAATTGCCCTTCCTTTAATTGTTTCTATCTGAAAAATTTCTATTCCAGCTTTAAAACTGTTCCAAAGTCACCTTTTCTTTGATGCCCCTTTCATAGAAATTAGCAGAGTGCCTGACAAATTATAACAGCATTGTAAGCATGTCCTCAGAAAATGAATGGATAGATTCTCTAAGTGAAAACAATGTACACCGCAGCACAAACCCTGTATAATTCGTGGGACTGAGCTCTAATAAAGAAAATATCTGATGGGGCTCATCACTGTTCGTTCTTTTTTGCTTTTTTGACATTTATGTAACCTTCGGGTAAATTCTAAGATTGTAAGCTTCTTGTCTAGTTGAAGGAGCAACAGAAACTGACCAAATTAGGCCTGTTTGTGAGCCTCGTATCTTGTGACCACATTATCACAGATGGGTTATTTTCCCCTTCATCTCCTCCATATGACTTTGGGCAGCTCTAGTTATACTGAAATTCATAAAAAGCAGAGTTTGACAACTTCAGAAGCAAAGTTCTATAAAATCCCTCCCTCCTGCTCCTCCTGAAAGTGTTGCTCTTCTCTTTTCTAAAGCCATGAGAATGTGGTCAGGCATTATGTGTCTCGAGTCCTGCTGGTCAGAGTTAAACTGGAAACCAAGGCGCCCACAGTGGTGCTCCCGCCTGTTGGGATTCAGGAGCTTACATTGTGCGAGCGCCCCGCTACTGCGGTGTAAGCTGTAAACCAGCACGTCCCCCTTTCACGTTATGACTGTAATCAAGGGGTGAGACATGAGTATTCTCAGTTTTACCTGACCGTGCTGCTTCCCAAGAAACTCTGGGATGAAATGAGAAGTGTATAATTTTTCCTTTTATATTTATAATTATATTCCATGTTTTCTATTATTCACACCACTGAGTTTTTCCCTCTTTTCCTCATAAGGTACACGTTTTACTTAGAAGCGAGAATTAACACCTATTGCATAAGTAATGATGGTTCTTTTATGAGTTAATGAGCCAAAATACATGATGAATAGACTAAAAGGTGACATCAGTGTAGTTTGCTTTGATTTCAACTTCTGTTTCATAAGACAAGATTTTGCTTTAAAATGTATGGTCCTAGAGTATAAAAGATATAAATGAGCTTTTCTCACTTCAAATAATTAATGCCTGAAACTAGTGCAAATTGAATTTCACTCTTCTATGAGTCAGTTTTCAGGAATATAATGAAAGTCCATTTCATGGAAAGTAAACTTAGCTCTTATTTTTCTTTCCTCTTTTTCTTTTCTTTTTGTTGTTGCACCAATTTTCTTCTTTCCTCGTTTTTTCTGTTTTATTTATTCTTTTAATAAATATACATAGCATGTGTTGATTGGGTTTTGCCAGGCACTGTGAAGAATTTAAAATTTTTGAGACTGCTGCCCTCCAAACCTTAAAGAGAGACACTCAAAAAGTTAACTAGCAAAAGAGATGTTACCAACAGGCCCAAACGCGGAGTCCAGGCAGCAAGCGCGGGGGCTCCAGAGCCAGACTTTCCGCCCCTGACATTGTCAGTTGGAGCTCTCCAGCCTGCCATCCTTTGTGATTTATTTCTAATGCTTTTTTCATCTTGTTCCAGCATATAGACAGATGCAGGAATATATCATTGGTTCTATCCCCTACCCCTTTTTTGACTCTACTTCTGCTCCTCTTGAAATAATAATTGTGCGCTATATTCAGACTATTTTGAGAATGTCAGATTCTCATTTACCCCTTTCCTATGGAATAGAGGAGATGGGATTATGTGAATCAGGAAAGGTGTGTTTTCCTCCAGATCTCTAAATACGAACATACCTGCATAATTAAAATCTTATGAAAAGAAAGAATTTGATTGTGTTCGGTGGTGAATTGTTAACAAAGCTTCATTAATAACTCTGCTTTTTTTCTGATTATTATTTAACCTGAGCCTTAGGTAAGCATAGGGAGAGGGCAATCCAGACCAAAAAAATAATAATATGGACCCATATTTGAGAAAGAGCAGGGTCCATTGAAAGACAGGTAAAAAGGTCAGCTGTGCCTTATACTTACCATGCCCAAGAATCAAAACATAATGGGATGAAAATAAATGTATGGACATATGTATATCTAAGAAATGAAACTTAAGTTTTTAAAGTTTAATTAGATATAATAAAAAATCATCTCCATCTACCTATAAAACCCTTCATATTTAGCCCAAGTCCTCTATCAAACTAAACATTTCCATTAACTTTCTCATTATTTTCTTTTTCCTAAAGTCACATTTTAATTTTGTAGCTTTTCTCATTCTCTGTTTTAACTGTTGTTATTTTTTAAGGTAGTTCCACTGTAGACAGTGTGTTTATTGAAGTGGGGAGATGTGAACTTAACCACCTTGCATGAACTTATGTATAGAAAAACTGTTGCAGGTTCCACTCAACTTAGAAGTGAACATTTAGAAAATCACCTGCTTCTAAATTGAGGTTTTGGGTGCCCAAGGGACAATTTGCAGCAGAATGTGGTGGGAGGCATACTGGCCTGGGAGTCCAAACGTCTATGCCATTCACTTCACTAAGTTCATGAGACTCTCAATCTCATCATTTGTTGAACTGAAGGCTTTATATCTGCTTTATATTCTTGGTAGGCATTCCCAAACTTATAAGAGAGGCTATAGGTGTAATAACAGACGGGAGATGACTGTCTATTTATAACACAAAATCATCTGCTACTGTAGCTATTTTTGTGTTTGAAAATAAAAAATGTATACCCCCCTCAAACAACTACAACAACATTATATATGAAAAAATACGTGCAGCAATTCAAGTTAGTAAAAGTGAAACTATCCTTTTGAAATATAGTTTCAAAATATAGAGACAAAATATTGTCTCTGTGTTTATGGCTTAACTACAGCAAGTGTGTTTATATAGAAATAACGGTTTGCCTCATTAGCAGGAGGGTAACGCACATTGCACCCGTTTTGTCTCATAGAATGATTGAAGATAGTGGGAAGAGAGGAAATACCATGGCAGAAAGAAGACAGCTGTTTGCAGAGATGAGTAAGTATGGAACTTTTAAGGAAGACCCCACAGTGTCCATTGAATACACATGCAACCCTATGACTTGTGTACTTTTACTTAAAATCCTAAATTTCTTGCATAAAATGTAAATTTGGGCATTTTTACCTCCTATAGAGTAAAAGTTAAATCAGCGAAGCATCATAATTTGTTACTACATTGTGTATTTTATATGAAGGAAAAGTTTCATGTTCCTAAATGTATATATACACAAACACTTCATAAACACTATGTAGTGTTGGCATTAATACAGTCCACTGAACTTTAAAGTCCGCGATCATCTCTCTACACTCTGTCAGTGTCCAGCATATTGAAAGCGCTGATAACATTTGTGAGATGAATCATTGAACGTCTTACCTACGAAATGATAGCATATGTTTATATGGGAAAGAGGAGTCATGCGTGATCACCAGACCAAACTATAAGCTGTCATTTAGACTTCATGCAGAGGGGGAGAATCTGTCCTACAAACCAGTTTCTAAAAAATGTAAAGTTAAACAAAAGTTAAAAAGAGCTCCGAGGTGACCTGCTATAAGAGGGAAACCAAACCAAGACTGACTGCAGTGGAGAACCCATAAAATAAACGGCGTTGTTTATGTAAATACATGGTTGCTTCGTAAATAATTGGTTGGTCGTGTCTCCCTTATACACCATGTTTCTTATTCATAAGGAAGAAGGACTTGACATTGGGAGGAAAACACACGTCTCAAATTAAATGTTATAGAGAGAAAAGTACAGTCCTCTTACTGTCTTTTTTTCTCTTTTTCCCTGAATAAGGAATCTGAGGATGAACAGAAGTGAGTCGTAAGCCTTTTTCCCTGAGAAGGCAGTAGACAAAATTAAGTTTCTACTGAAGATTGGGACTGATTGACAGGAATGAGGGTCAGAGCTGATAAAAGAAAGTCCCAGATAATAAGATTCATATTTTCCTTTATCATTTCCCAATAATCTGGTGGCACCAAGGCAGTATTAGAACTAACAAAGAGGAAAGAAAATTAAAATTGATGTGGGGAATCTCAATCACACTCCTCGCTTTTTCCACTTTTAGGAACATGTCTAAAGTGCCTGTGAGTGTTTCAGCCATGACCTTCCAATCTCCTAGGCCATGTTGGGTACTGTATCTTCCTTTCTGGCATGGCTGGTCACCTGAAATTATGCCCTTGTTGATATAAATCTAATGGAGCGAGGAACCTCATTACTACTGGCCCATCTAATCAAAATATAAAGCAGCACAGATATCCTCCCGTATCATAGGTTCTTAGACTGAAAAGGCAAGAGCCGTGTGCATCATGTGCCAGTGTTTTGACAGAAAAAGAAAAATAATAATATTTAACATAAAAAGCAGTAAAGTCTTAGGGGAAATGTTTGAATTTATCATTGTTACATTAAAGACCATATCAGCTAACACACTGTAAGAATTATAAAAGTGGAATTATTTAATGATTTTTAAAATACTTATCTGTGTTTAAGTACCTTATGCCTGGTGCAGTGCCTCGCACAAATACATATGTCGCACATGTCTTTTGAATTAAAGTTGTCCAACCCAAAAATCAGCATTAAGTTTTATAACTATAGAAAGAGACAGAGCTCTAAATTTTTCAAGTTAAAGGCACTTAGGGAAATTGTGCGTTTATTTTCCAAATTGTAACTTTATCTTTTATAGAAACTTCTCAAGGTTGTCATGTGCTTTATTAAATCATATTATGAGTTCTCCTGATTAGTGAATAGTTTTTAAAAGCACACAAACATGTGTCTTTCTTCCTTGAGTATGCTAAATAATAGACTCAGATGTTGGCCAAAACCAGGTAAACACACCTGATCTTAATAATCCATCAGTGAGCATCATGTTTATATGAACACTAAGTAGGACACGTCCACAATAATTAAGTAGGATTCTGCCAGATAAAACAATTGGCTCATTTCAAGGGAAGGAATTTATTTTGATAGGAAGGCTATCACACAAATGAGAAAGGTAATCTCTTTGAGAATGTGTTAAATAGTTGAAAAATATATGGGCTACCTCAGCTCTGTCAGCAGGACACCAAAGAAAAACTATTATCAGAGAAGACTGACATAGAGACTTGGAAAGTAACTTCCTCCCAAAATCCTGATGTCTAAAAAAAGAGCTAAAAAAAAAGAAGGAAGAACTTGTAAGTCTGGTCAACTAAGTATTATCTAGAAATAATTTTCTTAAAAACAGCAAAAGAAAATGCCAAAAAGATTTTTTTGTTTTGGAAATTACAAAGTCAAAGAAAAATTGCGTGTGAAGGATTTAAGAAGTCTAGGGAGAATTTATTCCAGACTATTGCAACAAGGTAGAAAGACTGAACTCAAATCCACTGGAAAGAAAGGCAGGATGGTTTTCGAGGGCTAGGAAGAGCTCATACAGCATAAAAGTACTGAAGGATATTGGTGAGGAAGTTGGTCCCTTGTGTTTGCTAATCATCACAATTGGGAAGTTAGTCTTCTACCCTCCCACAGAGATTGGGAGAGCTACTTCAATGATTACATTTCAAACGGATGGTCCTTGGGAAGAATATTCCTGGGCTGAAAAACTGGCCAGAAGCTTGGGAGATTTATATCTCAATGGGACAGATAAAGAATTTACAATGGAAAGTTTTCTAAAGTAAATGCTTTAAAAAAGGGAGGTCAGAGGCCTAGAGTCAGGAAGAAGCCTGACTAAGGTTTAGTCAAGCTGAGGGGAACATTAAGGCATATTGGCTTTTTCACAAAGGCCAAGAACAGAAAATAACAATTAATAAGAAGAATAATTGATAAGAAATTTTGCCAGATTCAGGTGATTACAGCACATGGGCAATAAACATCTACTCTGAGCTCATAACCACAAAGCAGAACATAGAAAGAAACAGCAAAGAAATGAAAATAAGAGTACCATAGACTCACAAATGAGCAAAAAGCAACAGCCTTATATATAAAACAGCAACAGTAGCAACTCCATGACCACCTGCTTTGATTAAAGACATTCTGGGCAAGTTGCTCTTAAACCAAAAAGTACCTTCAATAGAATGGCCTAATGATCAGCTTATCTAGTACCTTACATTGAAGCTGAAAAGACTGGTTAAATGTAAATGCCATCCTCACCTTGGCTTTTCCGGACACTGAACAAGTTTATCAGCTCAAACAAGTTTATCATGCTGGATTTTAGCAGAATAAATAGTTTGTTCTTGGAATTAAACTCACCTCCGTTTTCCTGCTCTCGGAGCACATTTACTCTGCCTCACATGACACGTGCTTGTGAATATATCCATGTCACTCACTATCATGAACTCCTCCGCAGGGACAGACCCTAGACGCTTACCTTCAATCCATTCACCTTAGATGCTGAATCAAGGTTGGTTGAAAAGCCTCCAGGGCACAGGATAGGTAGGTTTTAATGAGAGAAAACTATTGGAAAACACTCTTTCAGGACTTGGAAGGCTGCCCAACAGGAGGCGAAAGGTCTTAGATTGAAAGCAGAGTGGCCTCTAAGTGAAGGAGGGACCGGAAATGGAAGGGAGGTAAATGTAGGCGCTCAACAAACACTGTCGAATTGTTTGAAGGCAGTCTTTATTCAGAATGTTCACTGCAGGCAGCAGGTAAATAGGTCACACTGAACCCAGAACATGATTTTGCAATGCACACTATGATTTTTAGAAAAACTGACTTCAACATTCAGAAAAATGACCTGAATGGTTTCACTACCATAGGCCACAGTGGATACAGTGACTATTTTTACCTATATCTTCATCTCTCGTGCTTTTCAGCCTCTTTAAGATGTTAACACCATGGGTCATTATCCCAAAAATTCTCTCTTATGTCACTACCACCCTGTGTCTGGTCCCCTGCTTTTCCTGACCACTCTACTTCTCTTTTTCTGTCTCTTAGTACCCTCCAAACCCCCTGAAGTCAGATTTTACCAAAGTTTTGTTCTTGACCAATTCTTTTCATATACAATTTGATTTTCTCTCAAGGCTTCACCATTATTATTATTATGGCTCTAAATGTCCAAAAATTCCTTCAAAACCACTTCCCATATTCTCATGAACCAGTTTATCTGGAATAGCCAGCATATAAACACAGTGTCCCTCCCAGCTTTTCTTCCTCACAGTCAAAGCTTATACTGATGAAGCAGCTTAAGGTGGGCTCCCCATGAACTGTATTAATAGTGCCCTTCATACAAAAAAGCCAATCTCGCCGCCAAGGGTTCTGCTTTCCAATATTTTCAAAGTCGTGCAGTCCTTGATCAACTACAGAACAGCGAGGCACTGGTGGGAAGTGAGGAGGAAGTTGCTATTCCCAGCTGTGTGCCTCATTCTGTCACCTAGAATTTGGAATAGCCTTACTTGTGCACACAGTTTCCTCTTGGAAAAATATTCCAGGCTTGGCCCAGTCAAGACATTGCAACATTTTATGTTTGTTAATCATTCCTAGAATGCATCCCATAGTCAGGGCTTCCATATCCATGTATCCAGCTTCACTTGGACATCCCACAAGCAACTCCAACATGTTAAGCCCCAAAATGAACTCATTTCACTCACTTTCAAACTTATTTCTCCATTTGTACCTTAGCTCAGTGAGGGTCACCCATCTACCATCCCACTGAGTTGTCTAAGGTAGAAATTTGAGCTTTGTCTTTCACCCCAAACTTCTTCAAAACACCTCCCCTCTCTCTTTTTCTCTCTCTCTCTCTCTCTCTCTTTTTGTCTCTCTCTCTCTCTCACACACACACACACACACTCAGCGATTTTCAACTGGTGTGCTGCGGCAGGCACACTGATATGTGGCAAGAATTTTTAAAACATGCAAAACCTATTTAGTCAGGGCACTGACCTCTTTGCCCTTAGATTGTCAAACAAAAAATGACAACAGCCAACACAATCATAGCCATCTGATGGAAACGAATCAACATTATACCTATTTTTTTGTCAGATCAGCAAAAAATCTTTATTGTTTTGGTGTGCTACAGAATTTTAGTAATTAGATTGGTTTGTGTTCCATGATATGAAAAAGGTTGAAAGTCGCTGTTTTTACTGTACTTTTGCTTTCATCTTTATCGCTTTCTTCCAGCTATGACATGGACACGAGAGTCTGAGGAGATGGTGCAAGAGCATCGAGTTGCCTTCAATGATTAGCTTTAAATTTTTATTACGAAAAGTTTCAAATGTTTACCAAAGTAGAGAAAATAGTATTCATATCTATCCTTAATTGTTTACCCTCAGCCCTCGCCGTACTATTATGAAGCAAAGCTCAGATATTATTCAAATGAGTTGAGCTTTCATGTCTTAAAGAATTATATACCAGTGATATAATAATAATGGGGGAAAAACACTATTAATGATTTTGAGAAATAATGAAGAGGACATTACAAAAAATAAAAGGTAGGGAAAGGCTGTGCTCATTTTTAATTAAAGAGGGAGAATACAGGCTCTTGAGAGCCTAGGGGATGAATGTGATGTAGGTTTCATGATAAAACTGAAACTTTTTTCAGATCGTGAACAAAAGATAGTGGTAACCCCAGACATTTCAACATGCAGAGAACAAGGATTGCTTTATTGGCTTCACTGCCTTATTTATTCAAATTCCGTCTCTTTATATAGAGGAATTAAGTCAGCTAATTTCCCTTTTTCATAAGGCTACTAGAGTGTTAGCTCAGGAAAATATCATAGGATAAAAACAGACCTTAATCTCAGCAAGATACTGAAAGAGTCTCTTAGGTTGTGCATATGTTAGAGAAACATGAGCTGATCGCCCTACAGTTGGGTAGGTTTACAGGTAGTGCTGTGACTGTGTCTGGAGGATAAGTAATGGGCCAGTCAAGTTGGAGGACAGCCTCTAGTAGTTTACTGGAAGACTCTTCTGTGGCCCTGTTCAGGTCCTTGGTTTTAAGCAGTAACTTGGACACAGAAGACATGCAACTACTCGCAGGTAGGCTATGAATTTACAGACTTTCGAGAAGAGACCACACATGTAAAACTGAATCAAGTTTATGGTTTATGGGAGCAGAGACAAATTTATTTTGAGCAAGAGCCTGCACACTGTATTTCAGGTCAGGGTTTTATCGAGGGTTTGGGGGGCGGTTGTCCCAGAATCCATTATGAATCTTGGTTGCCACTTACACTATCTCTGCAAGGTAGTGTGCTGCTATATCTGAAAAGCTAACTTTCTTTGCTCGCCACATCCCTTTTAATAGTGAGGCCTCACATCCACAGCCAGGAAGAACTTACACAAATAGGAAACACTGACAGACCTGCAGACCTCTTCCAGATTCTTAAATAAAACAGAGGGTCCGTTAAGTCTACATCGTGATAGGTGAGCAGTCGGGGCACTCCTGTCCCCAAGTATCATCTCCACTTCCCTCTGTCCTGCTCCTGGAGAGAAGCACCTTTGCCAAATTGCCCCTAGGACTCTATGAGAGGGAGGTGCGGAGGAACCAGGGTTTCTGTTCTCAGAGGCTAAGATCTTGCTGGAACTAAGAAATTTAACTGTGTGCTGCATCGTAGTCCTTTTATACCTGGGGCTTAAATCATTATTCTTGAAAAGTGTATACAAATAATCTGTGTCCCTAATGTCTTCTTCAAATAATTATTTACAGATATTGAGACTCTCTTGATTGTTGAGCCAAACTCCACATCAATAAAATTACATCCACAGCCAGGAGAAAGGCAGATTTAGCTTTCAGAGTATTTCTGATAGTTGTTCTGTCTGGTTATCTGGCAACCCAGAGTGTTCATTTCCCACATGAGCCTCTCAGCTTTACAGAGGACCCGAAACTGGGAAGCCCCTTTGAAATGCCAGTGACAAAATCAAAAATTTTAAAAAAAAGAAATCAGAAAGGTTAGAAGCATGAGGTAAAAATTTAAAAAACTAACCAGATAAGTATGAAATCCTACCTGTAGCCCCCACCCCAAATAAGCATTTAAATAGAAAGTAGAAAAATGTCTGACTTATATAAGTACATATGATTTTTTAAAACTAGCTTTTTAATGAACTACAAGCTTAATAGTGCCCAAAGAATGAATTGCATTACTAAGTGCCCTTATCAAAGGTGATGATGATAATTGCTTTCTATATATTCTATACTGGTGAAGCAATGGCAGTGGCAATTGGTTTAATTTTGTATATCTCATTTCAAGGAGATATTAGCCAGTTGTGGAACAGGATAACTAGAACAGTTAGGGCCTCAAATCCTTGCCTGATGATAATGAGGATAATAACAGCCGCATCCATGTGTTGAAGCCGTATTGTGTGCCATGCTCAGTGGTAGACGTTGTACTTGAAATGGCTGTGCACTTGACCTCTTTGACCTAAAAAGTCAAGGAGAAGCTTCCTCCCCAGCTAAACTCTAAACTCACGATGACAGGGGCTTTTGTACATGATCTTCAGATGGTAATGAAGATGCTAATAACGATAATGATAGCTGCTTCCCAGTGTTTGAAAAATAAATTATCAAGTGCCAGGAAGAAAAGATGTGGCTTCAGAAGGGAAACTAGGTCAAATAGATTGAAGTCACAGAAAGGCAAGTTAAAGCTCAAATGTAAAAAAGAAATTTCTATCACTTGTTGCTGCTCAGAAATGGCACAGGAGGCCTTTTAAGGAGGCCCATCTGCTTGCTGTTAAGTTCCCAGTAGGTACCAGCTACTGAGGTTACCAGCAGATAAAGTTGATATTATCCTCATTTTGCACATGAGGAACTTGGACACCAGATAAAAATGGCAAACTTCACACAAGTCCATTTATGTTCACTGTGTTATAATCATCCCTATTGTTGCAAATAGTCCTCCATGGCTATTGGCATGGCTATTGGCTAAAATGAGAACGTGTTGAAGGAAATTTCTTGATTGTGTGAGAGTATAAGCCCTTACCACTTTGATCCTTCAGGTACTCAGTATCAATGAACTTGTTTATCAAGTAATAAACTTCTACAAGAATTAATGTTTAATTATCTGCCTTATTAAACCACAAAGTAATAGGAGTATTTATAGTATTTTTAAATGAATCTAAAGAGATCAGTTTGAGTTGAGGGAGTGCTAACCACTCTCAGTGAGGGACACTTGCTAGTCATATTGAGTTTCATTTGGAAAGCACTTAAATGATCTCCTAATATATTACTTTTAGGCCTGTTCATTTATTTGCTACCCTAGCTATTATATTCAGAAGCATTTATGTAGCACTTTTACTGGTAAAGAGAAAGTTCAATACATATCAAAAAATACAGCTATGTGCCTTTATATCTGTTATGAACCATAAACATGGGCTTCAAGAAAGCCAAACATTTAGAAGCAGAGAACTGGCATTTGTTGAAAGTCTGCTGTGTCCTAGAACAGTCTAGAGATGAACCCATTCAGAGGAAACTTGGGTTATGTAACAAGCAGCCCATCTGCAGGGGAGAGGACCTGGGATAGAGTAGTAGGAACTATTGTTGGGTAGATAGGATGGAAAGAGCTTTCAGAGGAACTTGGATTCTGAGCAGGAGAGCATTCAGACTTGGTGCTCTGGCATCATAAGCCATGCTGAATCCCTGAGTGGAATAAATAGGGAAAGTAGCTCAAAAATATAGGGAACATGTTCCTCTTCGTTAGGAAGGAACTGGAAGCCACAGTGTAAGAGTGGCTGTTGTTTTTAAAAAGAAGCCTCCTCTGAGATCGACAGGAAAGGTTGCAGGTGAGATAGTAGTAAAACAGTGAATACTTACATAGCACTTACTGTGTGTCAGGCATTGTTCTCAGTGCTTTGAGTATAGTCACTCACTTATCCTGACAACAGCCTATGAAGTGAATAGCAGTACTATCATCATCCCTCTCTTCCAGAGGAGATAACTAGGATTTCCAAAAATAGTTGGCCTCAGGTCAAGCAGAAAAAAATGCCCGACATTCAGCATGTGCTCACCTCACAACCTTATTCTCATGACCAATAACAGCACATTCAAAATGATTATTTGATATTACTATCTGATGTCTTCTGGCTGTTTAAGTAACAGCTCGAGCAGATTGTTCTCCGAAGTGGCAGACTCACAGGGCTGAGGTTGTGTTTCTTGGCTGGTGAACATGGTTGACATCCTGATCTTCAGTGTTGATTACATGTGCTCTCTTCCCCTAGAACCTGAGAGAGACAGGATAGACCTTTTCAAGTCTTAAAGTTATATTTATGTTCTAATAACAAAATTAAGTGCATGGGTTATATTTATAGTTGTTTTATTTATAAATGTTATAAATTCCTTTCCACACACATGGCATACCATATGTGTACGTTTTCCCCCCCAGGGGCTCAAGATCTGGATCGCATCCGACTCTCCACCTACAGAACAGCATGCAAGCTTAGGTTTGTTCAGAAGAAATGCAATTGTAAGTACGCCAGTTGTTTGGACTGATTACCTTCATGAATCCTATAATTTATACTCATTACTTAGTTTATTAAAACTAGGCTTTCTTGCAAGAATTGACAAAAATATGTTTAATACAATGAAAAGAGTATTATGATATGCAAATGGTAGTGAGACCGTCCCTAAGTAATTCTGAATGCTTAATTACTCTAAACTGCTAAGGTGTCCCATCCTGCCATTGGAATGGTTTAAATCTGGATGAATGTTTTCCTTCTTTTCTCTGGCCTTAGTATTGTCAATGCAGTGCCATCAAAATGGCTTCCAAGAACTTTATAAAATATCAAACATTAAGTTCTCCTTAGATTTGTGTTTCCTTTACAAGTACTACAGGATAATGTTTATAGTAATCTCCTGGAAAACAATCAAGTTTCTTTCTGAAACTAGAAAATTCACCCTTTGTATCAGAGTATTGGCTATATTTGCCTGCATCAGACAATAGCAAGAGAAGAGACGGAAATACTTAAAGAAACAAAGGAATTTGCTTCAGCTTTTTCCCAGATTTTAAAATGTGAGCAGGAAGTTGGATCACTGATTACAGTGAGCAGATTTACGTTCCCTGCTGGGCCACTGCTTCCATCATTTTCCTCATTCATTATCCCTTAGAAAAAAATATTACTTTGTTTTAAAAACTGACTGCTATAAAAAATTAATAACTCTTCTCATTTTCTAATTAGTATTGGACGCATTAAAAAATGAAAAGCATGTTATCCTGAGCACATACCCATAGCCCTTGAATAACTGCCATGAGGATTAGACACTTGGTGAACATGGGAACCAGCAGTGTCCACATCTCTACCCTCCCAGAGTCTCCAGCAGATGTTTCTTGGGGCACTGGGCAGGCCACCCCCAGCCCCACGCTTCTAGGCTTACGGCTAATCATGACTCTGGGATGGGCAGTGCACATCTATTCCTCCTGTCACTCTTCTGCAGCTATTGTCCAGCCCCAGAAGAATGGGGCTGAAGTTTGGGGCAGGAGAGGAATGGAGAAAAAAACATAGGTTGGTCAAACATCAAAGACATGTTTTGACTTCTCACAGAAAGCTAAACCAGTGCTCCCCTTCCCCTAAAAACTCAGTGAGAAGAGCGCTCTGGGTGGGGGAAGGAACCTGTGGTTGTACTTGCAGGCCGGGGTATTTCCAGGCCTGGTGTTGAAGGACAGGGAAAGTGCTCCCACCGAAGCAAAGCTTCCCCCGCCCCCAACCTCATCATTCACATCTAAACAAAGAGAAGAGTCTCCATGTTTACAGCAAAAATAAAAATTAATGGGATCCTTCCATCATTTTTCTACCTCATTACCAATGGCCCTGAAATAGAGGGCAAGGGAGAAGCAGCAGAGAGAGAAATTCTGTCTCCTCAAAGCATTGCCAAGGAGAGCCTTCCGTAGGCTACTTTCAATAAAAGTAGGGAGTTTCCAAATTACATTACAAAATGGTTAATGATGAACAAATAGATAAATAATAAAGGAAAAAGGAGGGAGGGAGGGGGAAAGAATGGCTCATAGTGATTTGTCTGCCCTGTGCCAGCTTTACCAAGGGCACACGTTGTTGGCCCTAACTGGGTCCAGCCACCCACGGGCCATATTCCGTTCCTCCTGCTCTCTGACAAAGCCCTTTCTCCTTCTCGGGCATCCTTTCTCCTCTTGCTGTTCTTTCCTGGCACTCATCCTTACCCTACATCCAGAATTATGCCATAGTCACACTGGCCTTCTTGGAAAACAGTAAGGAGAACAGTCACTATCTTGGAAAATAGTGATAGCCCATCCCTGGGTGAAAAGAGAACCTTCATACCTGACCACTTGCCCTCAGTGTGTCCATTCATTTGCTCTTAATTTAGTAAACTTATCATGAACTCCTACTCTGTGGCTGGCACTGTGCTGGGTACCAGGGACAGAGCGATGGTGAGTAAGATGCCATCCCTACCTTGAAGTTGCCCAAAGTCTAAGTGGGTAGATGGACTTGTAAACAGAAATATGAAACAGTGTGGAAGTGTAATGACAGGAATATGTACCTGGTGTGGTGGGAGCACCAAGGAGGCCGTGCCCTGACCTGGGTGTGGGGACCACTGAGAGGAGTTTCCTCTCCAGGGAGATAAATGGGCTGATTCTTACAGAATTGGTAGACAGTAAGCAGTTTGCTTTACAATTTGCTAAGGTGTTATTTGCTTTACAATGTACCTTACAAATTTTATACATTTTAGGATGAGAAAAGATATTACATTCTATACAAACTAGACAAAACTAAGGTTCAAAGAAGAAATACAAGCGTATGTTGAATGCTCTGCCAAAATTAAGCTTCTTTTTCAAATTATTTCTACATTGATGCAAATACTATATGTGTTGCTAAGTTTTCCTTCCTGACAATAAATATAACAGTTGTGATATTGAGGTACTTCCAGAATACCACACAATTGAGCCTGGCTTATTTTAATGGAAGTTAGAGCCTTTCTTTTAGGAAGATAACCAGAAGCAATAGTGTTTATGTGACATATGTTTGTCAATATTAAATACCCCTGTATTAGAGGAAGAAAGTTGTTGTCTGCAATAAAACTGAGCCCAAAATAAATCATGGTACCTTATAATGGAGTTTTACTCTACAATAAAAGAAATAAGAAAAAATCCTGATAATGTATTTGTAACTGCATTGATTTCTTGGAAATTCTTATGCAGTGTTTACTTCATAGAAATTGATAGACCTTAACTGAAAATGGGTTGTTTATTTTTAGGTCCAGACATTATTGACAGGTAAAATTTATTTTGTGTATTATCAGAACTAAACTTAAAAACTGTGTAATGGAATTAAAAAACATTAAAACTGACACTTGTAAAGTCATCCCCTAGAAAAAATAAATATTGTGTAGATGTAGCATGGAGTATATACATTTTTATGAGATTTCTTTCTTATCTTAATTTAAAGATCAGAAGTGCTAGTTAATTCCGCATATTTCCTTCCCCACAACCTTGCCTGCTCTGTTTATAGTGTCCCATCTAAAGCATTGATCCCTATCAGTGACACCCATGCTAATTTCCTCTAATGCAATTCCTGATGGATGCTGAGAATAACTGATCCCCAGTGTTCTAAAAAGACTTCATATAAGAGGCCAGAAAACTGTGGCCTGTGGACAAAGTGGGCCCAGCACCTATTTTTGTATAGACTATGAACTAAGAATAGTTTTTACGGATGAAGATTTGTAACCGATTGAAAAAAGGGAAAGGGAAAACTAATTTGTAACCCCAATTAAGCAAAATGTTTTTCGTGCAAAAAACAATTCCAGTCTGTGTATTGATAGACCAGCATTAAAAAAACTGTCCTCATGTATTATATTTTTAATTTTATCATCAAAATGTTGTAGACATTTCTTTCCTCTCTTGTTGTATACAGGGTGAGTGAAAGTAGGTTTACAGTTGTGAGTACATAAAACACAGTTTATTCTTGTATTATTTTTTATTAATTATTGTATTTTTTCCATACAAATAACTGTAAACCTACCTTTGCCCACCCTGTGTATGCCAACATAATAGCCACATGATATTAATCCATTATATGGTGATGCCCCTATGTCCACAAAAAAAACATTTACCATCCTCTGCTATAAAACAAAATTTGTAAGCAGCCCATCTTTTTTTTTTTTTTTTTTAAGGCAAAAAAATTCCTTCAACTTTCCTCCATAGGATTTTTTTTCTAAATCAGGTTCTTTCCTTCACCATTCATCTCTGTACCCTGTCATACTATCCCTCCCCATGCCTTGCCTAGCACATTCTCTAATAAAATAAATCTCTCTAAAAATTAGGGAACAAGTTTTCTAGCAGAAATGGTACAGAATGGAGAATATAGATATATTCCTAATATTCCTTTCTAATCAACAGCCTTCTCTTTAACTTCCAGATTTCCTGGTAACTTTCCACAAAAATAAATACCCTATATACCATTTATAAGCATGTGTGCAAATGGTAACATTTCTCCCTTTATCTTAAACAAATAGCTTTTCTGCTATAACATTATTTCCTCAGTCAGCGTTGACATGGTTAATGATCCAGATACCCCGTAATGTCAGCAGATCTTTTTTTCAGAAATTACTTTGAAGTCAATGAAACACAACCTTAAGTTCATGAACAACAAAAAGCAATAAGAGAAATAAATCAAAAATCTACTCCCTCCTGTTTAACAGTGGAACAAAAGTAAGGAGGCACCCACAACCACAAGGAACATTGCACCATCTTTAGTTCTTCTGGCTACAATCTGAATTTTCCTATCACTCATATCAATTAAAATTTAATTAAAATTTTGTTTAAAAGGAAAGATGAAAAGGTATATATTTGTATCTGAATTTTCAGTTTCTCAAAATATCTTTTCTCTGGTGTAACTGAAGCATTTTAAAAACTACCCCTCATCCAAGTATAATTTAAGGTTAGAACACATGGTTTTGTCTTTAATAGCTGTAAACTTTCAGGATCTCTTATGAACCAAAGAAAATGCAAATACATATTTACCTAAAGGTTTCTTTATCACTACAAAATTAACCCAAGTGAATGCATTACATGTAGTAAAACCTGAATATATATTCTTCTATGAATAAATGAATAGGCTCCACTAGATTCAGTTTTCACCACCCAGGTGACTAGTCTTATGCTGTAGGAGTAGCATTTGGTATTTCTTAGTAATAAATACTAATATCCCATTCTTTTTTTCTCAAGCACATTCCTCCTCTCTGCCTCATTTTTAAGCATGTGGATTTTTGGCTGCCTATATCAGTTTTCTACCATTGCATAACAAATTCCCACACACGTAGCAGCTTAAAACAACCCACATTTACTATCTCAGTTTCCGTAGGTCAGAAATCCAACACAGCACGACTGGATTCTCAGCTCACGCCTTCGTGGGGCTGAAATGAGAGTGCCGCTGGGTCCGTGCTTCTCATCTGGGCTCAGGATCCTCTTGCAAGAGGACTGGCTATTGGCAGAATCCT